TAGAAAGCCTGTAGTAAATATTAACATAATGAAGTAGAATGATTTCCTAAAGCATGATTAAAATTACCCGAAATGCCGGCAAAGGGTGGACCTAATGAAAGCAAGTCTGGTAGGGTTCATAACATGCAATGGCTTAAAAGGGCCTTCTGCATCCCACCTAAAATTCATTCAAAAAGTAAAAATTAAAACAACAAAATTAGAAAATTTAAACAAAATACAGTGTCTTGCTTAACAAAAGGAAAAAATACCAGGTCTCGGCAATGGCCGAGAATTTTTCCAGCTCCGTCTCATTCAAGGAACTTTTTGAAGCCCTTTTAAAATTGGCAATGGCAGGTGTAGGAGGGGCAGCCGGGTCGATTGGATCTGAATATTGCCTTATTTGAATAAGCGTTTGGACTTCAAAATTCGGGTTCTTGAACGGGTTTGATGGTCTAGTTAAGGTTCGGAGTCGGGTTAACAGAAGCTTTGAAGCCATTGTTGAAGAAGAAAAGACGATAGTTTTAGCTCTGAACATAATTCTCTTCCCTTCAAGTTAGCAGTGAAATTGGCAGAATTGCCCAATTCCCAACTCTTTGGCCCGTCGGCTCGCCGGAGATGGAACGGTGTGTCAGGATACGACGCCGGAGGAACAGTTTGGAGGTTTAGACTGTGAGCGCTTTGTAAGATGTTCGACCCAAATTAAAGTGGGTCATGAGTGAAGTCGGGCTTCAAATTCGGGTCACAACATCCGTTTGACACCTATTAAATTAAATTTCATTTTTCTCGCTTTTATTTTCAATCGCACAATCTTCTTTAAAATAATATTATATGTAAATCACAAACTTTTTTTTAAACAATTAATTCCTCAAAAATAAAAAATAAAAATAAAAAAATAAAAAATCATATTCCACCTATTATAATTAACTTTAGCTCATGACCCGTTAAATATTGTCATCGACTAAACATTGTTACATTCATATTGTAATTTATCCATCTTTAACTCAATGCTTGATTCTTAAGAGAAAAGGCAATGCTTCAAGTTAACAAATCTTAAATTGATCTTTGAAACCTTTTCCTTATTTTTATCATCAACAAATAGTAAAAATGTTACGATGGAACTAAAACAAGATGTCAATTAGAAAGAATAAATCGATTTAGAGGGTGATTGAAAAATATATTTTAGAATAGTAAATTGATAGAAAATGTGTGGTTGAAAAATAAAAGAATTTTTTTATTTACGTATAATATTATTTTAATGAATAATGTGTTATTGAAAAAAAAAAAGAAAAAAAAAAGAGAGAGAAATGTATTTTGGAGAAAAGTGAAAATCAAACAAGGTTTAATGATTGTCGGTGAGTTTACGCTAAGGTTTAACTACTATTACATCTACCCCCGTCTGGCCCCCGTTAAAACTCCTCAATTTAATTTAATTTTTTCTTTCTCCTACTTTCAATCACACAATTTTCAATAAAATAATATTACACTCAAATCGAAAACTTTTCAACCACAGTCTTAAAAAAAAAATACTATTCTTCCATTATAAATTCAAATAATGGAAGCCAAACAGGGACTTAATATAATGTTAGTAGGGATAACATACAATGAACTAATGATGACTAATTGTGAACGAAACTTGAATTAAAAGTCTTAGCCAACGAAGTTTTTTAGGTGATATAATGCCAAATTCTCCATTCGACTTGAAGATAGACTAGACTAGATTAGTAACTCAATAAAACGAACACAATTCATTTTTCTTGAATACAATTTTTGTAACATTCCGAAATTTTTTTTAAGAACATAAATAAATTATTATATTATTTTGAAAGTGAGGGATTAAGGTGAAATAAATA